ATGATTCATTTCATTAGTAAAAAAATAAAATTGTGCATAGAAGACAGCTCATAGATGAGACTGGTGTCAGACTAGGCTTCTTACTGTCATTCTATTTCTTTCTACGGGTGACTGACTGGATTATCAGTATCTCCATATCTCAAGCGAAAGAACGAGATGCACTGGGCAACTAGGATGCAGCTAGATGATTTGAAATTTGCAGATGACTTTGTCCCTCTATTGCACACGCATCAACAAATTAAGATGAAGATAGACAATATAGCTGCAGACTCTAAACCAGTAGGCCACAACTCATAAGGAGAAAAGCAGCATGTTTATATACAAAAAACACAACGAGCACCAACCAAACCAAACTTGATAGAGTAGCTCTGGGACAGTTATTTAGGCAGTATATTTGATAAACAAGAGGATTAAAAACGTGCAGGACTCAAAACAACTACCAGCTAAAATCAAGGCCAGAATATTAAATACAATTGTCATTACAGTTTCATTGTATGGAGCTGAAATTTGGAGAACTAACTTAATCATCAACAGAAGGGTATAGGTATTTACAAACAGTTTTCTATATAAGATACTCCGTATCCGTTGGTGGGACACTATTAGCGAAGGCCTAATATAGTAGTGAACAAACCATTTTTCAGCCGAGGGGGTAATTAGGAGCAAATCCTGAAGATGGTTGGGACACAGATTGAGGTAATCAACAGGCACCCATGATTATGAATCCTCAAGATTAACGGAAAACAGGAAGACCAAAGAACACGAATAGAAAGTATACGTCAACAGAATGAACAACATTTGTGAACAGCTGGGAAGGAGAGCCCATGACAGAATGGGTTTCAGATTGCTGATTGGCAACCTCAGCTTCCCAAGGGGTATCAGGCGTAACTAATTAAGGAAAAAAAATTTTGATCAATATTTCTTAATACAATCAAGTAAAATAACTTTTTAACAACAACATTTACAAGTCGATCGACTTTCAACTATGAATTGAGCTTGTATAAATACTATGTTATATATTTCTGGTTTGGTGACATTCATAAAACGTGTCTGGAGTTAATAATCAACTAAGCAACAAGTTTTTCATTTCACAGATAAAACTCCTAAGGAGCCTTCCAAATACTATCGTTTAGTTTGTATATTTTTCTTATAATTTATAGCCTGGATTCATGTTGACTAAACAATAAATGGTAATTATTAGAAAATCCTGTGGACTTATTTCATCTGATTTGAAACTCTCTAATAGTAAGCTTCCATGGTAAGATCAGTTTGTACTCTTTTTAATTATAAGTTGATTTGATTTCATAGGAAAATTATTATCACTGGTCAATAAATGAAAAGCTTATCAAATGATAAATTGAGGAGCTTTACATCGCTTCTCATCTCTCTGCGTTAAGATCATGTGTAGTAATTAATTATCTACTTGTAATTATTTGAAAATCGTTGTAATAACTGATTTGTAAAAATTAATTCACCATTTTACTAGTCATTGCTTTGTATTAGATTGAAAATATATTGAATGATTATTATTAATCAAGAAAGGAATTATCTGTTGGTAAAGCGTGTTGATCGCTTCACTTATCTGGGGAGACTCATCAGCGCTGGTAGCCTGGTGACTGACGAAATCTCAGCGTGGATACAGAAGGCTCGATTGGCTTTTGCCAACCTGCGTCATTTGTGGCGTAGGCGTGATATCCGTTCGCTAACCAAAGGACAGGTGTACTGCGCAGCAGTTCGCTCCGTTCTATTATATGGCTGTGAAACATGGCCGTTAAGAGTAGAAGATGTCCGTAGGTTACTAGTATTCGACCATAGATGTTTAGGAAGCATTGCTCGTATACCGTGGGACAACCGAGTAAGCAATGCTGTCGTTAGGAAACGAGTACTAGGTAAGGATGGCAGATCAATAGATGAAGTAATGACACTTCATCAGTTAAGGTGGTTGGGACATGTGTTACGTATGGCTAACCACCGACTGCCTCGACGAGCTATGTTTTGTGGTGTAGGAGTAGGTTGGAAGAGAGCTAGGGGCGGCCAAACCGAAACATGACAGAAATCCATGAGGTCACTGACTAGTGGACTGAGTCATGTTGGTAGATGTAGACTACCTGGTTGGGGTCCGCGAGACGATAGTCACCGATGGTTAGAGACCTTGAATGACATGGCTCGGAATCGTTTGCAATGGCGCAAGTGCATCCATTCTTTGAGCTCTCTCAAGTCCTAATCTTCTGTATTCGTCAGCATCCCTACCTTTGTCTTTCTAACCTTATTTCACCTCATTATGCTTCTTGAATATCTTCGAACCCTAGTCTTCTTCATTACCAATAATACCTCTTCTATCTTTATGACTATGGGATTGCATTTGACATCTACGTCTCTGTGCTAATGTGGTATGGCAACCTGGACTTATGTACATACGTACGTCGTCCTACGTTGCAATTGACTGACTGACTGACTGTTGGTAGAGATATTGTAATTTATCACTGTTGTTAATCACTACAACTGATCAACTGATCAGTGTGATTAGGAATACTACAATATAGTTATGTCCAGTTGACAATGACCAAATGAGATTAGAGGCACTTATTCGATTTTGCCGACAACTATAATTTATGTAGGAATAAGTAAATACACTATAAAATCATAATTGTTAGATGGTTACATGTATATTAGTTTTTGTAAATATTAAATACGTTAAATGTAATCTATCTTTTTCTTTATTTGATCGTTGTGCACAGACTTTTGAGATGGTAGAGAAAATTTATAGCTCAGATGAATGATTATAGTGGTGTTTTGTTCTCTGAACTGCAGATGTTTCAATTATGGATGGAGCTTTCGTTGGTTTTCTGTACAACATCATCAACACAAACTTCACTTCAAGAAGTGAAGTATTCGAATTTCTCTACTTGGAGAAACATCCAACTCAGAAGAATGAAACACCACAACAAGCACAGATTTTTATTTTCACCAACTAATTAAACCAAAAAATCTGTATGCTAGTCAATTCATTCTTTGTAATTTCTATTAAAGTCATTTAATTAATGATAATTTTAAAAGAGGTGGATATCGTGAACTTGGCTATTCACTTAACCTGACTTATTTGTATTATAAGTTATAGAACCTAATCAGAGTTTATTGAAAAAAATCTCATATGTTCCAAGTGATATTTCACAGAGCTACAAAATACTCATGTACAATACTCAATTTTCTGATAATAGCCGTGATAAGTGATATTGGTTTCGATTATTAGATAATTTATTTATTGAGATACCTTTGACTGTTGTATGATTTTAATATTCCCCGTTCGTTCTACACTGCTGATCCAATATCACTTTAATTACAAGCTAAAAGTGACATTGTAAAATAGATTTATTATTAATTATGTCATCACTTAGACACTCACCATGATTTCTTAGTAAGTTAATAAAAACTTGTATCCAGAAGATACAAGTGTTTATTAACAGTTGTCTACGCAAAATACTTCGGATTCGTCGGCCAGACACAATCAGCAACGACGTACTGTGGGAGAAAACAAACCAGATTCCAGTGGAGGAGGAAATCAGGAAGAAGCGGTGGAAGTGGATAGGACACGAATTACGAAAAGCACCAAACTGCGTCACAAGACAATCCCTCACTTGGAATCCTCAAGGCAAAAGGAAAAGAGCAAGGCCAAAGAACACACTACGCCGAGAAATAGAGAAAGATATGAGAGGAATGAACAAACATTGGACAGAACTGGAGAGGGAAGCCCAGGTTAGAGTTTGTTGGAGAAAACTGGTGGGCAGCCTAGGCGTAAGTAAGTAAGTAAGTAATATCAAGTTACTAAACTTTATAACATTCTCACGACATTCTTACTTTACCAAGTGATTATTTACAATGAATTGCAATGGATTTTGAAAACTTCGATGTATTTTACTTTATCAATGGCCTATTATTCAATCTGGCACATAATTTACATAGTTTACCAATTAAAAATGACACCCCTTGTTTTTTTGTTCACAATTTTTTAATCTTACGTATTTCAATTTTCTACCTATCAAAATTGATTCATTCGATTTGTAAACTGTTTCGGATCTTTTTATTCTCGTTCCAATTGGTTCATTCAAAACACCACCCGCTTTGTAGGCATAACACAAATGATATTTTTAATTTTTTTCTGTCTCTCTCTCTCTCTCACCATAACATAACATAAATAAAATTTATGGTACTTTTCTTTGTTTGCATAAATAAAAACAATAATCAGTTCTGATTTCACGCTTTTCATCAATGAAAATTAATCCAGACATGGATTGTTTTTATTTTTAGGCATATAAACATGTATGTCTGTGTGTTTGTTTGTTAGCCAGGGTAGGTGGTACATGTGTGTATGCATTGCATTGCATAGTGAAATAGACTCATTCTACCCCTCTACCCCTCCACCCCTCCAGTCACACACATTCAATTCATATTACGAAAGAGACACATTTTAGTTTTCTAGCAAATAATAGAGATACAAAAAAAAACACAACTGAAAATCAGTCAACTAAAACAAATTACACGAGAATGATTATGATTATTATTATTATTATTAATAACAACATTATTGTACTATGTGAATGTGTGAACCAATGAAACATTAGTTACGCTCTACATTATCAACATTAAATAAAAATGGAAGGGAAACAAAATAGACATTGTATAATTTTAAAAAAAAGGTTGATGACAGGCAAAAAAAAAGATTAGAATATACAAACAATGTATGCGTTGTTCTAGTTTCTCTATAATTAATGATAACTAATGATAAATTCATTCGGATTATAACGAAATTTAATTTCTATCAGTATTATTGATATCATTACGCATAGCATAATAAGATCACATTGAAATTGGATTTTTAAAAAAAATATGAGATTATCAACGTTGTTTATATTTTTGAAAATATCGTCAATTTGTTTTGTTGTTTTGATATTTTAAACAAACAAACAATTTAATTGAGACATTGAAATTACATTGAACAACAACAGATGATGGAAACCATGGAAGATTATTCGAGGTAGGTCAATTATTTTAAAAGAACTTATTACTATTGAACAAAATTTATTGTTCAGTTAGATTTCATTATATCATTGAGTATTTCCATTTTAACACATTTGAAATCATCAATCAATCATTGCTAGAGCACCATTAGAAACCTGGAAGCACTGGACGGCCGTCAAGTCCTAGTATGGGACTCATCAGTGGAAGTGAGCATCCACGACTCCTGCACCTCACAAGATTCGAACCCGAGATCTTCGGTATTGTGCGCGAACGCCTAACCATTTTTAATAAAAAAAACTTAATGTTGTTTTTTGATGAAGCGTGATATTATAACCTCCAAGTAGATTGATCTTCAGTTAATGATTCGAAATCATTGATCTTATTTCGTCTGTTTTCTTATAGAGTAAAATAGAGCACAAAAATAAAAAAGGAGACAGAACTAGTTTGTATTATTTTTTATAAATAAAAAGTTTTAGTAGGAAAATGTTTATAGTTGATTGATACCTAACAGTATATAGTTTCTGAAATTAAATTAAGTTCATTCTTGTAGGACGTGAGACAGTTAGTTACCCACCTAAGACAATCTATAAGGTTGCGCAATATTGTGGATTAATTTATGTTAGCCATTAACATTGTTAAATACCTATTGTGTGGTTTAGAGATTATACGTTCATGCATGAAACCGAAGGTCTTCAGTTTAGTTCCTGCTCACAGGTTCATCCTATACTAGGACGAAACGATCTTCAAAACTCCATGATAACAATGAAATTGAATATTAAAATGAACTTGCTGCGTATCCTAACTAAGTTATTTCGGAATTCTTTACTGTTCTGTATGAACTGTAGTGCATGAAATAAGTCCAGTTACTAAAATCGTTTTTGGTTGTAGTAGTAGTAGTGTGGTGCGAGCTACTTATAAGTAGTATATGACATGAGTGTCAACATAATGTTTAGCAGCAGAAGATGGGGGAAGATCAAGAAAGGAAGAGTTAGAAAACAATGGAATTTGTATGAAATGCATGAATAGTGAAAATGGATTGATGTTTTGCTACAGGAACAGTCCAGTTCGATATGATGAACTGATATTTTGCAAATTAACAGTTTACGATATGGTTTTCCGATTTTACTGAGTAAATCTGTACTTTTCGATAAATACAATCCGGTTGCCCCTCCTTTGTTCTCGTTCACTACAGTAGTAGTCATTGTTGTATACTGCAGGTTAAGTGATCGTCATTATCTTTTTACTAATTATCGAAATGTACAACAATCCCTTTGTCTACTGTGATCTGAGGCTAAACAAATACACGATGCTAATTACTATAGTTTGCTACGTATTGAAATATTCATACTTCAATTACATCAGCACAAAATTAACACTGTTATATATATATATATATATGCTAATAATTATAGTAATAATAAACAGGGACATCCATAAACGCTTCTCAATTGTACTTAATTTATCCATGTGACTTTGATATAACGATAATAATAGTTATTATTATTATTATTATTATAGTCACAAGAACAAGTGTTAAATCATCCCTTTGTTTATGGACTTCCAAAACCCCAATTATGTATAGATGGAAAGCTTCGAAATGATTAAATCATGCACAATATTTAATTCTCTTATTCAAAAATAAGAGGAAATTCCTGCCTCTGTACTGAGTGATATACAAACATGAGTATTATACTTAATTACATAAGTGGATTTTGGTCAGTTTGCAGGTGTTATTCATCATAAACTGATTCTCATTTTGGATATCACGGAAAAGGGACAACCGTATAAGCAATGCTGTCGTTAGGAAACGAATTAAAGGTAAGAATGGCAAATCAATAGATGAAGTTGTGAAACTTCATCAGTTGAGGTGGTTGGGACATGTGTTACGTATGGCTAAGCACCGACTGCCCCGACGAGCTGTGTTTTGCGATGTAGGAGTTGGTTGAAAGAAAGCTAGGGGCGGCCAAACCAAAACATGTCAGAAATCCATGAGGTAACTGACAAGTGGACTGAGTCGTGTTGGTAGATGTAGGTTACCTGGTTGGGGTTCGCGAGACGATAGTCACCAACGGTTAGAGACTTTGAACGACATGGCTCAGAATCGTTTGCAATGGAGCAGGTGCATCCACTCTTTGTGTTCTCTCTAATTCTAACCTTCTGAATTCCTCATTATCTCTATCTTTCTCCTTCTAAATTTATTTCACTGAATTATACTCTTAGAATCATGTCTTTGCTCCCTAGTCTTCTCCATTGCTGCTAATAATTCTATTATCGCTATTATTCTTGGATTTGAAATGACAGTTACGTCTCTGTGCTGACGTGGTATGGCAATCTGAACTGATGTACTTATGTAGGAAGTTCTGCGTTGTATCTATCTGTCTGTCTGTCTATATCACCGAAAAATAGTAATTATTGGAGAGCTGATATACCATCAATATATTAACAGCAGTAAAATTAATTCCCAATGACTTCGACTTACATAATACGAGTTTCCCTGAAGACAATTTAATCATCAGGTTATCTTCATTACATTCACCTGTGTTGCATTGATTACTTTTTAAAAAAATTTATTCACAGCATTTCGTCTCATTCATTCAAACCTCCATTTAATTCCTATCACGATATCACAGTGGGATTGAAATGGAAAGTTCTCCTCTAGCTAATATCACATATAACTAACTGATATGGTTTAGTATCTATGTCAAATCTTAGTATCTTTCTTTTTTTTTTCTAATCAATATTATTGTTTGTGATCCTCAAAATACAACTGGAAATTCTCATGCTTAGATACAATGTATTGTTAGATCTAAGTAGTACGAACTAAGATGACATAATCGACCTCCTATTGAGAGAATGATTACCAATGAACTAATAATATAGATAAATTTAGTTATATACAAGAAGTAGAAAGTTTTTCTGAACTTTTTTTTCATTTCAATAATAATATCTTTTAAATTGTAAATCGAAACTGTTTTCCATTTCTTTGTCTTACAAATTCACAAGACAATATTCTGTTAATGAACAAATAAATAAGTAGAATCGAGTTTCCATCCCAAAAATTTTCAATACCATTCACTTGTCATTCATTTTGTAATTGGACTATGGATTCTAAAAGAAAAAACCTTTAAACACTAAAAGTATGAAGATATTTTTATTATTTTAAGATGTCCTACTGAACTGTACTGTTAACTAAATCATGTTATTGTTGAAAAATTTAAACTGATAGTCTCTGCTGTAAAATTATTTATAAGTAGAAGAATATTACGAATTAATTTTTAAATTGATCTTGAGCAGTTTGTCATAACCTTGAAGAATATTTTTTTTCTGTCTAGAAGCCAAGTTGTTAGTATGCAGTTTAAAAAACCTTAAGCATAGAATAACAACTAAGAAATAGAAATTTATCAGCCTGCATGATCTGTGTGTGTTGAACTTTCGCCCAAGTCTTCATCTTTCCATCCTACCAAAATGTGATACAGTGTCAAAGTATTCTAAAAATATGTAGTAGCTTGTGTGTTAAATGATAAAATTACTGGGTATGTGTTACGTTCGTCATTTGGCACGCTTGAAGCTATTACTAGTTCATCTCAGTCGATAAACGTGAACGAGACAATTACTAGCGTCCAGGTAGGCTACCTTGAATCCCAAACTGCAAAACAGAAGACTTAGTAAGCATAGAAAGTATATTCTACAAACATCCAGCAATCACAATATAATCAAGCACACAATTCTCATTCATTTATACATCATAGAAACGTCCTTGGAACAGTTACGAAAATAGCACACTAAAATACACAGCAGCCAGTCATAATAGCCATGGATTTTCCTAGTGGGAAATAAAATGTCAAAGTCAACTGATCAGCCCATGCTCGGAAACATGAAATCTAAAATAAGGCATTTATTTATCTAGCGAGTTCTGGGGATCTAACATCCCCAACAGCATGCTCTAGTTACTCTCATCAATAACCTAATCATCAAAAAAAGGGTTACATCATACGTCTGAAAATATTAATGTACTGTGTTTGGAAATAGTAGTTGTACATTTTCCTATGAAATATAATAAACGCTTAGATAAACTTCTTACGGATTCAGCACAATTTCACTTATATAGCAAATCCCTAATAAGGCTGGCATAAAAAAGAAACTTTTTCAGTTTTATTTAACAGCAACATAAATGTTTGACATCATTCCAACAATGTATACTAGTCATAAGTTGAAAATAATCGGTGAATAAACCAAATATAAATTATAAACAGTCGCAACACTCTTCTCTCTACTTGCAACAATCAACCAGTGCTAAATTGAAATACTGCATTTAAACGATCATTGTATCGAGTATGTGAAACTGAACTGACCAAATTATCATATTTTGTTTTAAAAAATTACCACAAATCACAATAAACAAGCAACAGGTTACCATTGAAATTATCGTAGAAAAATTAAGAAGAAGACTAACTGTGATATGTGATAATACGATAATAGTGTATTCACTTCACTCGTTGACTTATATTCACATTAAATTCTGTAATAATCTTGGTTGTTAGCATGGTTGAAATTGTTTTATTTTTTTGTTTTCAAAACTCATAAATATTTTTATTATACGGAAAAAAAACGAACAGAGATTTTAGAAGTCTTTACCTGAAAATGAGTTTAGTTAATTGCTCACTTCCGAATATTAAAAATATATAAGTATTACAATGATGAATTTATAAACTTTTTATACAACCACATAAAAAGAGTTTTTAACAAACAAAAAAAAAGAATACTTTTTAATTATTTTTATTTTTCAGAGGAATAAATAAATATAAATATATTTTTTTCATTTAGGGATATATACTTCCGGAAATGAATGAAAATATTTAATAATTATTTATGCAAAATTATTATTCATGTAGAATCATTAATACGGTATTGTCTCTCTCTCTCTCTCTCTGTGTATCCAAATCCATGAACATAATGAGTGGTATAGATGACTATTTTTTAAAGAAGAAATACAGACTAATTATCAAATTACAAATGAGATTAACATTATTTTTTCTGTTAAAATAATGAGTGTAAGATGGCAAAAATTGGTGTATGAATGAGTAGTTTTTCTTTTTAATATACTACTGTTATTCAGAATCAGTGAATATTAGTCGTTTCATTGGGATTTTCGTATTCTTTCGTATTCTTTCAGTAATAAGTAACATAGACTGTGACACATATGTGATACACATACTATTGTAACTTCAGCCTTTGGTTGGTTTGCATCTAGCCAGGAGGTACCTTGTGTGCTAGGGGGGTATGTGAGGAGCAGTGTATGAGATTTTATCTGGAAGAAGAAAGAACAAGAGAAAAAGATGAGCCGACAACTCAGTAAGCACATAGAATGCACTTATATGCAATCTACGAATAAATAGGCAGCAACCAGATATCAAGCCAGTGTGAGATTAAGACAAACTAAGTTAAGGAAACTAGGAGTTGATAGAGTTAGGTTTCAAATGCGTTACACTATCACAGCGAGGATAAGATTATCAAGAGTAATAGAAGTAGTGACAATTTCAATGGCTGTATAAACAACCATTAGCCATTAAAAAGGATAAATTTGAAAATAAAAGGTATTAAAAAATGTCAAAATTTAAGGTTCGAGGGAAAACAAAGAACAAATGTTCATAAAACACTTCCACCAACGTTTAGCAATCGCACCTAATCTCGCCTAAAGATGACAACGAAAAGAGTTTAGACTTCAACCAAGTAGTCTGCACCTACCAACAGGACTTAGTCCAGCTTTCAGGGACTTTAACAATCAATACCATGTCTAGTCTTAGTAGAGCCTACCGCTATATCAGCAGACTTTTCCTATCAAAGTAGGTCGTGTTTATATATATATATGTAATATGTAACCCAAACATTTCCCTATTTAAAAATTCACCACCCTATTGAATGACGTTTCATCATTTCCTAGTATTTAGAAACTGGTTTGGTTTGAAACACAGATATGTAGATATTCCTAGTTCTCGATAATTCTCTAGATTATTTCATCAAATAATATAATCTTTATATAAACTGTCCTAATGAATTTATGGCTCGTTTCATGAAACTATCTGGTGGTTTATTTCATGCTATCTCATGCTATTGTCCTATTAATTTGGTAACCTCAAAATTTCATATCTCATTTTTATCTTTTGCAATATTGATAGATCAGAACTATCTGAATCCTCCAATATGTATTTAGAGCTCAACTCTGAACCACAATTTCATCCATTATGGTGCATTTTACCTTCAACAAACGGTACTAACAATCAAATGCCATACTCTACACCATGCAAAGACAATCATCTCAATAATTCAGAATCAATTGATAATAGAAGTTATAATAGTACTACTTATATTTCACAAAACTCTGATTTAAATACATTGGAAACTGGTGAACAAACAGTTTCACCAGTCAATAAAAATTCACCTATTACAAAAAATAAGTCTATTTCATTGTGTAATTCACATGATGAAATTATTCCGACTAATAATGTACACAGTCTGCAAACAGACGCAAAACTGCCTCAGGATAATGGTCCTTCAATACTGAATACAAAACAAACAATCAATGAGCCTGAAATTTTTGTTATGCAAAACGTTATATCACCACAATTTCCAACAAGTGAATTTTCCTCTGCACTGATTGAACCACAACACTATAATGTAGATGAATGTCAAATCAATTCTTTAAATCAGATTAACAGTCCAACGAAAGCAACATCAATTAGCGAAATAGACAGACAACAGAATATGAGGTAATACATTTGAGGTATTTTATTATTTGAATAAGGTTTCGAGATGTTAATTACGAAGCGTTTAAGTTTTTCATTCATCATAAATTTTGTTAACCATTATAGTTCAATACAATTTAATAGCCGAAATCCAAGAAGTCTTGTCTTTTTCAAATGATAAAATAAATTTTCATTTCTCAGCTGTTTGTTTTTCTCAAGTGTTGAATTATACAGTTTTATGTTCCATTAAAAACAGTTGGCTACTGAATAATGTGAATTCTGAATGGTAAATCAAGCTATGAAGTGTTGAATGGTTGTTGGCAGTTAGTAGAATACTTGGAGTTAGGTGTTGTACTAGCTGACACTCATCACTAATGTGTACCCATAATCAACTGAAAACTGATGCACCCTAGTAGTTTTGAACTATATGCGTATAGTAAAAACTTTTAATGTTCTAAGTAGGTTATTTGGGTTGCATTTTGACTTTTTTTAAAACTGATACCTGCACAACTAATTTATCACTGAGCAGTAATCAATGTCACGTTTTTTTTCAATTAGAGTTAAGGAGACTAGTGTTTTTACACATTTGAAATCATCAATCAATCATTGTTAGAGTACCATTAGAAACCTGGAAGCACCGGACGGCCGTTTCGTCCTGGTATGGGACTCATCAGTGCCAGTGCGCATCTACGACTCCTGCAACTCGCAGGATTCGAACCCGGGACCATCGGTATTGTGCGCAAACTGCTGATGAGTCCTATACCAGGACGAAACGGCCGTCCAGTGCTTCCCGTTTTATAATGGTGGTCTAACAATGATTGATTGATGGTTTCAAATGTCAAGTTTGTGTACTACTTTAAAGACTATTGTACATGATGTTGAACAGCTTAGATTAACGGCCAAACTGCCACCTGGGTAATGAAATATGATATGCTCCAGATAATTAGACAAACATAACTTACTTAATTATCATCAATCAATATATACTAGTTAACAGAAGCCTTTAACTCAGATTGCTAATAATGATCAAAAAAGTGAAGTGTTCAACAAATTTTTGTAGCCTCTTCGTATTAGGCGCTAGAAAAAATTATTCACCCTAGTAGTAAATATAAACAAAACATTTTGCACGATAAATGATTTTACATTATCCAATGATAATGTGCCTGTAGATAAATCTAAATAATTGGTGATTATGCAAGCGCTGATAAACAACAGGAAAATAAAAGAAGTGCATGATATAATTTTTATTTTAAAATTTATTCAGATACAGACTAGTGAAAATGAAATAATCGAATTTGAAATATCTAAACCTTTAATATGCTTAGTTGGATAATAAAAACATGAACACCAATATTAATGACTAGTGAAGCATAAGCAATTGCTTAATGTGATTATTTTAGCTCCTTATAAACTATGAAATACTCTGACAAATTTTAATAGAACATAGTCAAGTATCATTATTATTATTACTATATTATCCGTTGCCTTAGTTTCCGTAGTGACTATTTCACCCTTTCTAAGAATCTACAGATCCCATTAACTAATCTACAAATTATGACATTTCCTATTTCATTTCAATGGAAGAATATGAGCATAAATGTGATTATTGCTATAGAATCCAGTTTATCTTGTTAGTGAAATAAAGAACCTAGGAAAAAATCGACAGTTTTTCCTACTTTCTCCACCGGCATATAACTTAATTTCTTTGTAAAATAAAAAAATATATATATCGAAACTGTTGTATGTTTCTATTTTTCTTAAACAATCTCCTATAACACCTATACATCGATGCACTGACAAGCAGAAAAAAAATTTTCATATCCGGAAAATCAAAAAACAACCAAAAATGATTTGGCTCTTTAACAATTACACGACAATAAACAAACAAACAAACAATATGACAGATGATGCATCTCTGTGGATATTTCATTTGCAAAATAAAGACGAATTTTTTTTATAAGTAAAATGGTCTAGTTGCAACTGATTTTATTCGTTTGCATAAAATAACAAACAATCTGGGAGCCAAAAAAACTTATGATTAACTCAATGAAATAACAACAACAAAAAAAAACAATTTTACATAGATTAGACATTTGTATCGTTTAAATTTAAAGAGAGGGAAAAACAAATAATATTTGTATATATGTGTGTATATATACATACATTTACATTCCTGTTTTTAGTTGTTTTTTATATTCTGTAGTCATTTAAATGACCAAGATAAATAACTTTTTTTCTCCTTTAACGATCTCTCCCAAGAGACTGAACAATAGTTCTAGAATATATATATATATATATATATATATATATATATATATATATATATATATAAGAAAGATAGTCACAATGTTTTTATCCATATGTGAATATATTATATGCATGCATCATTTCTGTTGCATTGATTTCACCCTAATTTGAAAGACTGGTTCTCTAATGATTGAGTGTCAGTCATTTAAGGTGCATATTGTGACAAATCACTGTGCATGGTCATCATTGTATGTGCTTTCGGTCTCTGTGTTACGTGACACACACACACACACAGAAATGTGCGTTTTGTTTGTTGTCACACACCATCTGCTTCCTACACGCTTAACATATTTATTATGTTGTCAGCGGCTTAAATACTCTTCATTAAATAATGAATACGAAAAGCAAGTTTGCTTGTTTTTTTTGTTACTCAATTTTAACATGAAAACAAACTATACGGATCATTGAATTTATGAAAATTGAATATTCTCATAAAAAATAAACGATTTTTACGTAAAGACATACAAGTTAGTTAGTTGATTATTTTTTCCTTCTTCTTCGATGTATTTTTTTCTCATTTTCATTTGACATATTTGAAAAAAAAACAAAACAACAATGATAAATGAGATTTGTTTTTCTGGTTTTTTCTTGTTCTCTTTCTCTCCATAATTCGAAGTTGTTTTTGTTTTGTTTTATTTTTTAAGTCCTCTGATAAAGAAACATCTAATTGGAAAATTTTTCGTCTATTCTTTTTTTTAAAAAAAAATTTGAAATCGTTTGGTTAAATTTTTTTTTTCCCAATTTTTGTCTTTTTCCGAGAGAGAGAGAGGTTTATATTACGCTTTGTAAATTGTTCACTAACAGAATTTTCTGAATAATGAGTATTTTAATTTAATTTAGAATGAAAAAAAATCTATTCCATTCTGGTCATTTTTTTACATAATTTGACAATCAAATCGCTGCAGATATTTAATTCATTGAATCCTATTCTAAAGGATGATGTAACGAAATAACGAAATCATCATTAGGAATACCATTAATTTAGTGAAGTGACTTTTGTGACAATCAGTCAACTTTGTAGGCCGATGATAAAAAAGAGTACTGATGACTATTTGTTGATCGTTTGGTTTTGGAAATAGTTTGTGAACCCATGTCAATTTATGCTCGAAAATGCATTTCATTCACTTAATCTACATAAAATACGTGGAAATTTGTAATTTTTTAACTACTCGACTGTCTTTATGCCACGTATCGATTAATTAACAGAATATTCACCTATCTAGGCAGTTGGGTATTTGAAGTTGTTTTAATTTCAGGGAATTTTAAGAATATTCAATTTCGATTTCGAAAAATTTGTTGAACTAAATTAATTAATGGCTTTAAACGAAATGATTTGTGATTATTTATTGATTCTAGAGCATATATATTTAATCCAATAAGGCAGGCATCAGAGAGATATATCCTCATCCCATTAATGATGTTGAATTTAAAACTAAAATTCAGTATAGTTGATTTTGCTGCCCAATTGTGCTATTGAGACAACCTGCTCAGATTGCATATTGCCCATACTACACCTATTGATCGTAGTTTTTAACACCAACTTCCATGAAATATATAGAACTAAATCCCATATAACTAAATATTAAGTCAGAATTTAAAAATTTTATTAAACTTATCTTTTTCCACTAACACTTCATGTTTAAATGTTATAAAGTTTATTTGTATACCAGTTTATTTAGTTGATCGTAAATGGAAAGTAGTAAAATCCATTTTTTCTGTTGCAACATGTATTAACGTTCGAAAGATATAAAAATTTCACCGTAATCAACATGTTTTTTTTTAGCATAAATAGGTTTATTTACAAAAAGAATATAGTATTCCATATGAGAAACATGATTCATTTACGTGGTAATTATCTCTTGAGAATTAATCAGTTTGTGATAAATTGTTTATATTGAACATTGAACACAATCTTGATCATTTTACAGTGAGTAGAGTATTTGGTGGGAATAATAGTGCAATATTTTTATTATTCTTACTTTTATTATTAGAACAAAATAATCATGATTAAATAATTGAAATAAAATTTTATAAATTATTTATTGAGATTAAAATTTTACTATCTTTATGATCTTGCGGCATTTCAAAGAAAAAAATGAAGTGAACAAATTTTTGTGTATTACATTTAATTAGTAGTGAGAATAGTAGTTTGGATAATTGTTTACAAAATTGTTTATTGGAAGTTTTCTTAATTAAGCTCATACTTAATTAATGATAATTGTTTATCATGGATATATATTTATTTGTGTGTAATGGAGACTTACATAAAAAGAAAAGGAGATTTTCCATTGGGATTATTTTTATCATTGTTCAAAATATTCTTTACTTTTTAATATTTTCAACTGGTTTCACTTAGGAAATCTTCAATTCTTTCTTTTTACAAAATATCTAATTAGTTGAATTCTATGTTATTTGTTATGTTGGACGGTAAATTTTGGAACTCGTATCCATTGGATGACTGATTTGGTATTGTTAGTAACAATAGTCAATGTTAAGCAATAAGAATAGCACCTATTTTTGGGCAGAGTTTTGGAGGTTTGTGTTTTTACACATTTGAAATCATCACTCAATCATTGTTAGACCACCATTAGAAACATGGAAGCACTGGACGTTCGCGCATAATACCGAAGGTCCCCGGTTCGAATCCTGTGAGGTGCAGGAGTCGTGGATGCGCACTGCCACTGATGAGTCCCATACCAGGACGAAACGGCCGTCTT